GAGCGACAAGAATGTTAAATGTACCAACTGACCTAGAAAACCTGGTTCCGAAGCATCACTGAAGTCTCACACTCTCGAGAAAAGCGCTCATCTCTACCAGCGATGACCATCGATAATTTTTAAAACCTTTCTATCATGTCTTTCAAGGGCCCATACAATATACCTGAACTTTGGAGATGCTCTGCTAAAGTTGTGCAAAATCTGGTTGTATCATAGCCTGTGGTTTTTTTAGATTTTATATATGGCAACAAGAGATGAAAAAGGGGGGTATTCGGGTTGCATCTGAATTTTTTCACCGCTATGGAGTCCTGCTCAGCGCAGTTTTGCTGTATTACGACGCCACCCTCCTGCTTTCTTTTCTAAATTTCGGGCTCTTTTGTTGCGTCTCCAGAGAGTTAAGGAATTTTGAGCTCAAAAATGCCAGTTGGCTTCTAGGATCGCATCTAAATTTGCTAGAGTCGCACCTAAATTTTTTCGAGCTTACTGCTCCTGTGTGGCTGCAACTTTTACCTTCAATTGTTTGGGCCCTATACTACAAAAGCTGTTCATTGGAGCCTCTTAATCTTTTCTTGACTTTAGTAACGAATTATCAAAGTACAGTCGTTCGTTACCACGGTACCTCCTAGAAAGGATTATGCCGAACATTCACAAACAGCAGAAAAGTTCATTAACCTTCACTAGAAAAGGAGTTATCATAAAATAGTCATTTATAATGGCTAAAGTGAACCGTTCTAATGCTGAATTTTTCTTGGTTGTTATTTTAGGTAGAATACAGCTTAAATACCATTCAAATCAAAATCGTTCTAGTTTGTCAGATGTTGTCCTTTCCATTCATATTTTCTCAAACACAATAAGCATAGCAATTTGTAAAATTTTACTTATATATTTACCCAATCTACTAAAATTATTTGATTTTTGAGTGGTGAAGGTCGTACGGATGGGTACCTTTAGGGGAGTCGTAAGTGAGGGTCCCGGATCGCATCAGCACGCTTAATCCTATGTGGATCGGCAGGTAGATCAGAAGTTCGCGAGTTTATGACTCGCGAACTTCTGATCTACCTGCCTGACTCGAATTTGGTGCAGGGGCTTCGAGTATGACTATGAGCAATAAAAGCAATGACTTTATAATGTTCCTTATTTGAAAAAACATTGTTGCTCAACCATTAAATATCACACTCGCTAGGCGAAGCACAGCTTCCTGTATGCTTTCGTTTTTGATAAATGAAAACAGCCTCAGCACCGCAAACTTTGATAATTTTGAACAATTACAATTAGTTTCGTTTCTGCCCTTTTATTCGGATGTCAAAAAATTCATATGTTTGACATTTTACTGCAAAAAACTTATTCAGTGCACTTACTTACTCAGTAGCCTTAGCTAGACGATTTGATTATCAGTGACGAAGTAGATATGTCTCATCTGTTAAATATGAATCTACACTTTACCATGCCCGAGCTCATGAAATAAGCAAGAGAGAGAGCAGTAGGAATACGTTGAGGGTAAACTAAGCTTTTAAGGGCACAAAGCAAATTCGTGAATAATTCTCGAAGATGTTTGAGCGATACTGTTAAAATGGAACTTTTGAGAACCAGAAAACTTGAATTTTGCTTAATCTAACGTCGTATATACGTCATTGTCCTGTATACCAAAGACCCGTAAAAAGGAGCTAATTAGCACTAGCAATTATAAGCATTGCTAAAACAAACCATAACAACCAAACAAACCATCTGTAACAAGCGCTGGATAAATTGGTAATTTTTAGGCTGCAAAACTCATCGCATATTTAAATACAAAGTGAAGCTGGTCTAGATTGATGGCTTAGTAAGATACACCACAGTTGCCCCATTTTTCAGCGGGGACCAATTTTCATTGGTAAATAAAGTCTGTCTCAGTTGGAACAAACCATGGCAGAATGCGCAGCGTCTTCTTAGCTTTGCGCCACATAGCCGACGGTGTGCTGTGGAGCGTGGTGCTATTAATTATGGTACACTCTTTACTTTAAGAGCAGCTAAATAAAGAGTCCCATACGATCAAATTACGAGTGCAAAGTTCTTAAGAAAATCTAGATGATAATTCCTCTAAAAAACTGAGATTTTCTGCATTTGACAATATGAGGCAGAGACAGTTTAATAGTTGTACTATCACAGGTTTGATAAGCTGATTTGATAAGCCTTTGTCCCCACTTTGCTAAAATCTAATAATCCTCCGTTGTGCTTCAGGGAGATTCATGCCTGAAGAATGCAAATTGAAGCGGCGTCATCAAATCATAGGCAAAGGAATAATCAGCACTTGTACTCCTGCTTTATAGAGAGGCCATGAAATTTTCCTTGAATGTATCTCAACCCTTAGAGTTTTTGAGAATCAATACGATTTTTCAGCATAATTTTTGGAAAAGTGTTACTTAACAAAACCTGGCAATTTATGCCAATTCAGATTGACTTAGATGAGGTGGCGATAACAGAAAGAATTTTTGACCAGCTTACAGCATGCCTTTGATCATCGTTAGACAGCACATTACACAAACACTCTCCATACGATATCGTGCTTAATTTTGGCAGCCGAAACTATATATCTACTCTTCTACTTCTTTGTTAGCGTATTTTTTGATACACTTACCGCCATAAAGTTGCGGACAGGCCGCCCTCCTTATTTCTTCACTCAGTTCCAAATGGAAAACAAAGATGAAAAAATGGTCTTATTGCTTGAAATTATAGAGCTGTTCGAGACTTACAATTCGCACACCATATTTTATGGAGAATAGACATTTTAAAAATTTAAAAATCTTTGTAAAAATAGTCCAAAATTTGGAGCGTCACAATATCGAGGACAACAAATTTTCGAACGCAAAAATTTTTCTTTGGGATCTTTTTGAAGAGAAAACACCAGTATCCAAACAGGTAAACATACCATTACAAAGAGCTTATCAAGGACTGTGGTCTGGTTATGGCTACTTCGTAAAAATGCGTAAGCTAGAAATCCATTTTGCAAGTTTTAGAAATTAACTTTCAATCCTCTTCTTCAAACCAAATTTTTCCCAAAAAAAAAAGCAAAACATCCTAGTCTCCGAGTCTCCGAGTTGAATGGATCCTTTTTATTATTCTCTAGGCATTGGACTTGTGCTAGCGAGCTCCTTTGCTCGAAATGGCTTTTGGAAGTGCGTGCACACGACCTCACCTGCAACTTGCCAATGACTTGTACCGCTTTACAGGCTTGTAACACGGCCGGCAGTCATTCTACAAGTCTGAATGTCGGCTTATTCAAAAGAGCGTGACATCCTCGACATGGCTGTTTGCGAAAGCGTTGAATTTAAGAAATCCCGAAAATTTTTGAGTATAGGTTTACAAAGAGCAGCTTCAGTAAAAAAAAGAGCAGTTTCCACCTGAAAATAAGTGATGAAGAAATGAGGGCGGCTTGTTTGCAACTTTTTAGCGTCCACAGAAAACAGAAAAAGCGACATTTTTGCCTTTTTGTCTTCAGGCTTTTACTCCCGATGTGTTTATTTTGAGCGATGGCGATAATACGAGAGTTGACAAACGGTAAGGTTTATAGACTGTTGCACCTAAAAACATTCTTGACGTACTTTTTGTCAAAGATTGTGAGGCGCTCAATGTTGGTGATAAGAATGAAAGTTTCTCCATACTTCGGGTTTAAAGGCAAAAATTGTAAGCAAAAAAACAGTTTTTTTTCTGTAGATTATTGATGCTAGATGATACATAGCTGTTCGAAGCCATTGCTGCAACAAAAATATATCTTTACAACCGAAGAGCATTTGTTCCGATGTTGAACGCAATTATAAATCTGACAAACAAAAGATGAATAGCAAAAAATTACATAGTACCCAGTGTGCAGAGGTATCCGGCGAAGTATACCTGAAAATAGCTTTTGCTACTGATGCGTTACTTTCATCAATGTTTCACGAAAGAATAAATTTCGCCTTTGGTTATATACTATAGCATAATCAAAATGATATGATGGTTTTTTTGACAAGATGCTTTGAGAAACTTCTTTAAGGCTTTCTGCGCCTAGACTTTTCACATAAATCTAGTTTTGACTAATATAAAATTCTTATTTTGTCTATTATTTGCATTCACCATAGATGTGAGATATGACTTTAAATACACCTTAAAGCTATTCTTGAACATTGATTAAGGGCAGATAACATTCTTTAATCACTTAGTCAAATAAGACAGTTCTGTAAAATATCAGTTCCCAGTTAAGAGCGACAATCCGAAAAAAAAACTATTTCAAACGACTGCTTAACTTATCCTGCCAGACTCATAGTTCTTAAAGAAGATAAAAAAGTTTTTACTGTGGGATTTGTGTTTTGATAACATTATGCGACTGTTGCGAAGTTTCAAAGCAAATTATGCCTTTATTAGAGCTATTCAACAAACACCTTGAAGAGTAACTGGTACTTTCAACAATTTGCGTTGGATAACATCACTTTTCATGAAACCATTCGGTTAACACATTATCAAGAAAGAATTTTTTTAAACAAAAGATGGTCTCATTATGTTGATACAATATGAAAAGATCTGCATTCTCCTCTTGAAGTCGTCGTGAGGAACAGTTTAACAGTGATTAAGTTTGCCGAGCTATCAATAAACATACAACTTCTACAATTTACAGATTATAAAAACATACCGTCCAGAAAGTTCAACACGTCTTTTCTATTGATCCTCCGTTATTTCAAAATTTGAAGCAATATTCAGACCAACTTGGACTCTTCAATCTCCTACTCAGAAGGTGGTTGGAAAGCTTTAGCTAAATTCGAATGCGGCAACATATGATTCATTGTAATCCTCGAAATTCTTTGCATTTTGGCTCAAACCTTCTTCTTGCCACTTTGGGTGGTTCGCTTGCTGTGAGTACGCTTTGTACTAAAATAAGGAGTTGCCTTTTCGCGACCACAACCAATCGCATGATTGCTGATTGGCAAGGACTTGGCTGATTTTCAATAAGCAATCACGAAAAAGACCTTGAATGGACTTGTATACCAGAGATGCCGGAGACTAAACAACAAGTTTGTTGTGTTGTTTAGTCCACAACGCATCATTCTTCTTGACGTGTTCAACCTTGCGGCCAAAGCTGAGGTGAAGCGAAACAGCTCATCCGCGCTGCTCTACGGGGTTTGGGAAATGGGATGCTGGAATTTTACGTGAAAATAAGTCCGCATAGGGTTACAAAAGGTCGGAGCGCTTGCAGTTCGCAAAAATACCGAGGGTCAAACTATGGTAAGACGCTGCCATCAAACGAAAGTCATGGGATGTAATCGTTCGATTACATTGTATGACATTTTGGCAAGCATGTACAAAATCGATTAACAGAATATGTGAATATCAGCGTTGTGAAAAAACTACTATCAGAGTTTTTAGTTCCCTTAAAGCTTTTTAGACAGCAATGCAACACTGACAATGCTGGCAAATTCTATTTCTTCAAAAGTGAGAAGCCGTCATTAAATTGGCCCAAACTCTGAACTCTTCACTCACAGATAGGAGATACTGCGAAAGGATATACCAGTGGCGTACCCAGGATTTCGGCTCGAGGGGGGGGGGCGCGGCAAAAAATTTCTCCAAATGAAGGTGCGTGGCGTCAGCCACGCACTCCGAAAAATTTTTAGGGGGGCTTTTCAAAATTTTTGCGGGGACCCCCAACCCCTAAAATCCGGAAAAAGGGGGCGTGGCTGACGCCACGCCCCCGAAAAAAATTTTTATAAGGCTAATTTGAATTTTTAAAAAATTTTAAAAATTATTTTAATTATTTACAAAAATAAACAAGTTACTTGCACATTTTTATAACTCATGTAAGTAACTTTCAAAAATTTCGCGACCCGTTCTCGGGAGGGGGGGGGGGCGCCCCCCCCCGCCTCCCCCCCCTCGGTACGCCACTAGGATATACATACCGGTATGCAAAACCATAGCTATGCACATCACTGCTGAAGTTTTTTATCGTCTCCGTTGAGTCATAGGTGGAGAGAGCAATTGTTTGCAGACATTCACAAAACAAAACAGCTTAATTAAAGAATTTGAAGATGTCAAACGGAAAGGTTGAGCTAGGGCTTATCTCTGGTAATCAAAAACATTTATTTTTATTACAGTAAATAGATAAGATATCTCAATCATCTTATGCAATGGCTGATTTTGCCATCACTGGCAGCGCCCGTGAGACAGTGATAACGAATAAGCTTCTGCGATAAAAGTTAAGCACCCCTCCCCGTCTGCTTTGCCGTAGATTGGGGAAAGGTCACTAAAACTCCAAAATTCACTCAGTGTTCTTTGCAAGAAAGTTACAAAGAAGTTGGAAGAATGAAAATACACTAAGTAAGTGCAGGAGAAAAGGAGAGTATTTTGAATGTACACCAAGGCTCAACAAAATGGGGGCTCGACCTTCAAAAATAGGGTGTTTGTTGATTTGGACCTATTCGATGACTAAATGAAACATAATCCCAAGCTGAAAACATTGGAAGTCGTTGTTTTATTGGCATGAGAAATTGAATAAGTGACACTGATTGGGGAAGATATGGCTGCGTGGTCCGCATGTTCGGGAATAGTTCCAGCACAGCATTCAAACTCAATGTGAACGCAGCCTACGTGGGGGGGGGGGCGATTTCAGAAACGTTCTGCTTCTGAAGAATATGTACGATTTGGTGTTAGCGCAGCGATTGAAACATGTTTCATCTTAATCAGCAACATGCTGCTAATCTGTCTCCACGGAGAGGAGCAATTCGCAGGCGCATATGAAACCTTGACCTCAATGGTGAAGGACTTATATTGTTGTAGCCTACAGTATGATGCAACTCTCACGTATCATTCATATTCCTTTAAACAAAATTTCTCGGATTTTGACGTAAAGCCACACATTTCCCACCCTTTTCTTCGGAACGATGATTTGACCCCAAAGGAATTTGATTCTAAGCCTTTGGGAGCAAGCCTTTGACTCGTTTTTGGTAAATGCCCATATCACTTTTATTTCTAATCTCTTTATCGCAGGATTTAAGTCGTAAAAAAGTTAAGAAAGTGCATAAATACCAAGAAGCAGTGTGGACTTGTTGTGGTTCTGACCATCCATACTCTAACACGGTGAGTTTGCACTGACTTTTCTCAAAAAGTCTCGCTGAAAACATTTTTTTGTGTTATATTATTGCTTCCAGATGGCCAAAATGCTGTTTTTGTTGGCCGTATTCTTTATACCGGCTTCAGGCATGTCTGTAGGTGAGTGCGCTTATTAAACAGCTTATTAAACACTTTAGATTTGTAGAAGACAATCGAGGTTATTAGCTGAAAGCTTGTGTGAAGTAGCTGCAATTTAACTTTAACAAAGCAGCAGAAAAAAATCACATGTGCACAGATGCCAACCACATGTCGGATCAAGAACTCGTTGATTATCTCAACACAAATCAACATTTCTTCAAGGTAACCAGATAAACAACAAATTGAGTTACATAGGATCTGCTCACGCCGTAAATGACACAATGTTTTTTTCAGGCAGAAGTTCCAACGATGTCGTACGAAAAATTCAAGTCACACCTGATGGATCCTAAATATATGAAAATACCTGAGGGAACTGTAAGAGCAAAGAAGATTGTTATGAATGAGTATCTTCCAGAAAGGTATATGGTCCTCTTTCCGAGTTTATGTAGAATATAGAATAGAGTATTTTATGACATGCGTTACAGTTTCGATGCTCGAGAAAAGTGGCCCGAGTGCACTTCTATAAAGACTATCAGAGATCAAGCAAATTGCGGTAAATTGAACTCGAGGTGATATGATAGCTATAGTGGTATAAAGCCATACTTCAGGATCTTGTTGGGCTGTATCTGCAGCTTCAGCCATGTCTGATAGATTGTGCATACAAAGCAAGGGACAAGATCAGGTTTGACAGTCGATTCGATTTATGAAGATATAAGACAGAAAGCACCTTTTGTTGCAGAGGATAGTCTCAGACACAGATATTCTTGCATGTTGTGGTGAATTTTGTGGTCATGGGTATGTCTAGTGTTTCAATGGTTGTTTATCGAACAGCATCGGTAACGTTTGAGGCATTGAAAGCGATCAATCTTTAGTTTGCCCCTGTAGGAAGCAGTCTTTACATGCTCGATCATCAAAGAGAAGTGTATATACCGCTACTCAATTTCAACAGACCTATATGGTCTGTAAAGATCAAAAGCTGAGTGCATGAGTAGAAAGTTTTTTTTTACAAAGTGAAAGCATGAGATGCTTTTAGAAGTCCTTCAACTCCAAGTGGAAACACAAGTTAGTACATGAAGTGCTTCCTTATTGAAACTATTATTTTCTACTTTCAAGTTTCTCGAGTCTTACTTCAGTAAAGTGCATTTAGTGACTCGTTAGTAATCTTTCCCAGCATTTTTGCTCGCTTTTTCAATGACCTGCTTGTCAGCAAACAAAGATTTTTACTTCCGTTGTATAACACATGAGAAAAACTGAATTTTTTTTTGATAGGATTATACGAGGCTCAATTCTCGTTGTTAGGAAAAAACGGTTTTGCAATCTCTTTCACTGATTCGCCCCAAAATTAACAAACTCCTATATCCTCACCACAGGTTGGAAAATTCGATTCAAAAAAGACTCGAACGCTTACCTGAGAAAAAGTAGCGCTTGGGGAAGCAAAAGCAAAATTCGCACCGACAGTGATCAAACTGGCATCCACTATGCAATAACACAATGCTAACCGCCAGAACATTCGACATTTTTAGCCCCTATCAACATTATCTACTCTATTGCAAACACATCAAACGGAAGAGATACGGTTTTTCCGAAGAATCCTTCCGCAGATAACGAACACAGTCTTGAGATCAGCGTTTTAAGGCGGATATCATGACACATGTCACACTACGAAAGGCCACGTTCACCAAATCTTTTTCCCGTTTAGAGAGAACTGCCTTTGCAGCATAATCATGAAAAATCATCATTATCTTTTTCTCGAAACTTTTTTGTTTGCAACAATGCGCAATGTCTGACGTTTCTATAATATATTGCATCTCGACCACTTATTATTACCTCAGAGTATTATCGTTCAAACTGCACTCTGATATTGATTATGTTACGAAATTTGGGTCCAGTAGACATGAGTCCATTGTTTATGCTTTTTGTATTCATACCTTGATTCCGATCCAGTCTTCCTATTGGAGTAAAAACGCTTATGGATAATTTACAGATGTGATGGAGGGTACATGCTCACAGCCTTTCAGTATGGAATGACCTCTGGAGTATGTACTGGTGGTGCATACAATGCAAAGGTATGCAGTGCCCTCAAAGAATAGAATAGTTGCTCGATTCTTCAGAATTGCTGCAAACCATACCCCTTCCATCCATGTGGTCAACACAAGGATCAACCATATTATGGTGAATGTGAGAAAGACAATGAAGACACACCAACTTGCCGTGCGCAATGTCAGCTTGGATATGAGATGGATTTTTGACAAGATTTACAGTAATTGGCACTACAGTCTCGAAAGAATTGAAAGTAATTCTATTATGCTGTATAGCAAATTCCGCATATTTCGTCTATGCGGATGAAGATGCGATTCGAAACGAAATCTTCACGAATGGACCCGTCCAAGCAGCATTCGATGTTTACAACGATTTCCGTTTTTACAACAACGGAGTATACGTAGTGAGTACTCACTATAAAGTTATGCTAAATTTGAACCTTTCTTATTGTTAGTACATTCATCACCTATGGCAGAGCAGATTTCCCCTATCACATACGCATCCCCTATCACATACGCAATCTATAATAAAAGGAATCACCCAAATTTTCTCCAAAACGTTTGCTAATAAGGTCAATCAACCTTTATAAGCATGGAAGCATTTACCTATGTATGTGTAAATGGAGCTTTCTGAATTATATCGATAGGCTTGCGCGATAAGTAAAGCTGTGATTAGAAAAACCTTTGTTGAATGCGTTGTTAGAGTCTATCAACTTCGTAATGTTAAAGCATATTCGTTAACGTGTTATGCTTGGCTCAAAAATTTCGAAATATGTAACGTGAAGATAATTAAAGCAGATGTACGCTTTGTGTTGCAAGAGCAAATTTCCCTGCTCTGTAAAAGCAGTGTATAGAAGAAAGAAAATTGTGCAAAAACCTAGAAAAGCCATCAACGATTTTCAAATTACACAAGCAAATAACAGCGTAAAACATACTCCTCTTTGGGAAAACATGATGATTTTGTGCTGCAAGTATAAGCTTTCAGAGATTTTTCTTCAAATCGTTGAGTTCAGCACACATGGGGAGAACAGGCAGGAGGTCACGCTGTCAAAATCATAGGATGGGGTGTAGAGAATGGTGTGAAATACTGGCTCGTTTCGAACTCCTGGAGCTCTGACTGGGGAGAAGACGGTAAATTTCTTGGGCCTTTGCGAACTATTACGAAACATCATTTTCAAGGAAACTAATTACTACTTTAGGCCTATTCAAGATACGCCGAGGAACCAACGAATGCGAGATTGAAGCCATGGTTGGAGCAGTTATTATGAACGCTTAAACTGTCGTTTGATGGACAATAAACTTTTTTCACTTTTCAAAGGATTTTTACTGACACAGAATTGCCTAATCAATATTCATTCATTTATTCATTCATACGCTCAAGGCGTTCCAAATCATAACGTCAAAGTGTTAGTCACGCGAAAACACAACAGTAACAAAAATCACCACGTCAACCCCAGTCCAGGGGACGATATAAAGAAATAGTATAGCGATAATGTAAAGGGCTTGCAGAACATTTTTAGGGATGCACGTAATCTCGCGCTTGCATGAACTATATGGAGACGTACCCACCTGCGTTTGCCAGCATCAATATTCATACAATCACCAAACTCCTGGTTTGGGCATTTACTTCATTACAATAAAAGGAATAAATAGGAGCAAACCAAGGAACTTGAGAATTAGCTGATTGATAGCGGCATCCATTTTCAAGCTATCTGAAAATGGATGCCGCTGGAAAATGTAGCACCACACATTAACAACCGCTTTAGGCCCCGGTCAGACTTCACGCGACTTAATCGTCGCGACCAAATCGCCAAGATTTCCATTCATTTTCATTTCACATTCAGAAATTTCGGGCTGGAAAAGTATCACAACCGAATGCAAGTTGATCGACATGGAATGATGTTGTAACAGTTGTCTCGTCGCGACTCAGTCGCGACGACCAAATCGCGTGAAGTCTGCCCGGGGCCTTACACACATGATGCGTTAAGCAATGACTACCGCATGGAAACTCTTGACGACATGTTGTGTCAAGGCTTAAATTTAGGTAAAATGATGACTGTTTTGGCCCAAACTCACTTTAAGAGTATGCCTTTACGCTGTTTCTGAAAACAACTTCCATGTTTTTTGGTTAGCCTCTGAAAGCTACTAGATATACCGCAAATGGCAGTATATGGGATGTATCTACAAAATTTTGACTGGCCCTAAAGGTCAAAATCTTTAGTCCCAAAAGGCATTCAGCCAAAAATCCTCGTTGCCAAGAAGGCTTCCATAAATTCTGAATCTCCATGTCTTAAACCATGTTCTAGGAATGCTGAGTCAAATTAAATTATCTATAACCTTTTCAAAGCTTTACAATGAATAAAAGTTTCAAAACAAATTGCATTGTTTTTTATCACTATTATCTTGTAAATAATGCTGAGGCAGGCGCTAAATTCCTCAAGAACCATAGCACGGCGACGGCCATAGCCGGTCCTACGACTGGCTATTGCCAGCTAAAGTTGGCTATTGCATTTTAGATAACCTTTGATTTAACTGGCTTGGAGGCTGGAAGGCGGGGCTTTGTGACCTAATTAAGGCCGCTTGCGCCCTCTACGCAATATGCGTGTCTCTCGAGGGCGTGCTCTCTGATTATTATCTGGTCTTAATTAGGACACGGGGCCCTGCCTTCCAGCCGCCAAGCCAGTTGAATCAAAGGGTAATATTTGATTCATGACGAGGGCAGTCACCCAAATAAGCTGAGCGCATACGAGATTGGCGCGCAAACAACGCGCGGGTAAATGTTATGCATGGAGCGTTACGCAATAGCTAAGCGATGGCCTTGGGGTCCAAACACTGCTTTTCTTGTATTCTAAGCCGTATTTGAATTCGGACTCTTCTCAACGCTTTTATCCGGAGCTAGGCTACAATTCACAAACTTTAACACCCTACATGTCTTGCCAACATTTTTATATGCATGACTACAATCATCGTTCACCAATGTATAAAACTCTTGTGTTAGCGCGTACATCGTTACCCCTTCTTGTGTCCTTTCTTCTCTTCCTTCAATTCTTCGCATGCAATCATTTCTGATCAACAAATATTAGGTTGAACACTAAGTTTTGCAACTTGTTTCATAACTTCACTCTCATTCAACATGGCGCACTCAAACTTTGGCATCATGTAGAATGCAATGTGAGCTACAAGTGAGCACAAATTGTCTGAATTTTGAATACGAAATAGAAAAGTTTCAGGAATTTTTCGAAAACTAGTAGAATTTGAGAATTTTTGAAGTTTCAAGCTAAAATGAAGCCTTTGGCAGCCTAGACCATGCGCAGTAATCCGGATTCGTCTACAAATTATTGCAAGAGGTTGACTCCTTTGGCCTAGCAAGAAAGAAACAAAATATATGGGCATGTCGAGATTTGGCGTCCTCATAAATTCGAACGAGTCGATGTACGCAAGAGCTGCTGGGGACGACCGTCAATGACTAAAGAGTCCGAAGCTCAAATTCCGCCGAGACTTCACATAGTGAGGTTATTTGACCTGCCGAATGCGAATATCATATTCATTTGTTGAATCAACGCCTTTTTCCTTGTTTTGGATGAGACCCCATATCGTACACCTACAGTAATCCTACAAAAAACCCTTATCACGCAATTTCACTATCGTTTTCGTGATCAGCATGTCGGATAACATCCCTATGCCAAGTTTCAGCCAAATCCGTCAAACTTTGAATTTTTCCCCTTCATACCATACACCTACCGTAACCCTCACTGCGACGTCAGAATTTGGTAGGACAGCAGCTGCGCTTGTAGTATACATAATGTCCAACACAGTGGCAAAATTTGAGTGCACCATGTTGAGTGAGAGGGAAGTTATGAGAAAAGTTGCAAAACTTAATGTTCAACCTAATAAAATGAATTTCTTGCGCCGTACAGGTTTTTGATTGCCGCGGTTCAAGCGACACTCCAAAAAACTCTTTCAAACGTCTGCTTAACTTATCTATCTGCTAAACTCATAGTTTTTAGAGAAAATGGAAAAGTTTATAGCACCATATGACTGTTTGGAAGTTAGAGGAATTCACGCCTTTTAGAGCTGTTCAACAAACAGCTTGAAGAGTAACTGGTACTTTCAACAATTTTCATTAGACGTAACATATCATTTTTCATGAAAACATTTAGTTAATACATCATCAAGAAGGAAATTTTTAGCAAAAGATGGTCTCATTAGTTGATACAACATAAAAGTTCTGCGTTCTGCTCTTGAAGTTCGTGAGGAACAGTTTAACAGTCAGATTGAGTTTGCCGAGCTATCAATAAATATACAACTTCTACAATTTACAGCTTGTAAAAACTCATACCGTCCAGAAAGTTTAACACATCTTTTTGTTGACCCTCCGTTATTTCAAGATTTGAGGCAGTGTTCAGGCCAACGTAGACTTTTTAAAATCCTACTCGAAAAGTGGGTGGAATGCTTTAGCTAATTTCGAAAACGGCAACATATATTCATTGTAATCCTCGACATTCTTTGAACTTTGGGTCAAACTTCTTCTTGCCACGCACAGGTGCGATAGTGTGAGAATTTTGTTATCCCCCCTTCACCACTGAGCCGGGGCCAAGGTGACCCCTTCACCAAAAGCCGAGAAAAAATCAACAGTGAAGTAAGGTTAAGCAAAGGAGACATTTGCACGTGAATTGTTTATGTATAGGAAAGGAGGAATCTGTTAAAAAAAGTGCTTGGTGATGGGTGTGAGTAGTGATTTCTGGACATTTTCGGGTTTTTAACATAAAAAATTCATAAATTTTGTAGATGAACATCTTTTACGGAGAGATAATCACCGTCAGAACCGCCTCGTCCTCCGCTTTCAGAAAATATACACATTGCCTGGGGTTCATTGAAAAAAGTGCCTGGGTGAAGGGTGTTCTAGTGATTTCTGGAGATTTTTGAGTTTATAACATAAAAAAATTCATAACTTCCGCAGACGAGCATCTTTTACGCCGTGATAGTCACCATTGGAACGGTCTTGTCCGTCCTCCGCTTTCACAGAAAATTTACACTTTGCTTGAGGTCCGTCGAAAAAAATATCGGGTGAAGGGTGGATGAGACTTTTACAATGAGAGTGCTCAAGTAGAAGCTTTTTTACCATTGTGAAAAGACGTCTACTTGAGCACTCCCATTATAAAAGTCTCACTCACCCTTCACCCGGTACTTTTTCTAATGGACCCCAGGCAAAGTACATATTTTCTGAAAGTGGAGGACGAGACGGTTCCAATGGTTGCCGTCAGGGCGCACAATTTATTCATCTACAAAAGTTATGAATTTTTTTATTTTAAAAACTCGAAAATCTCCAAAAATTACTAGGACACCCTTCACCCAGGCACTTTTTTGATAAACTCCAGGCAATGTGTATATTTTCTGAAAGCGGAGGACGAGGCGGTTCCAATGGTGGCCACCTTGGCGTAAAATATGTTCATCTTTAGAAGTTACGGATTTTTCTATTCTATAAACTCGAAAATATCCAGAAATCACTACCCACACTCTTCACCAGGCACTTTTTCAACAGACTCCAGGCAAACTATATATTCTCTAAAAAGGGAAGACAAGCTAATTTCGAAAACATTTTTTCTTGCTGACGTTGCTGTCCATCTACAGAAGTTACGAATTTCTTCTTTTTGAAAATTCGTAAATGCTTAAAATTGAGCTCCATTTTAACAGGTACTTAGTAGTCCACAACTGAACATAAGATACGAACATAAGCAGAGTGCACGTTTGCAAAGTAACCCGATGATAGAGCGAGAGTACTTGAATGATATTAGCAACTGTGTGAGTAAATAAAGTTTCGATTCTTGAATTGCTAAAGCATGTTTTCTTCTTTGAATATACTAACTTCTGTGCTTTTATTCTACGTTGTAGCTGTCCATCAAGTAGGGGTACCCTGAACAACATGGACAATGTAGCAATAGTGATCAGACAAAGTGACTTACTTGGGACATCTCTGTCATACAAGTCCATGGTCTTTCTCGTGATTGAGAATCAGCCAAGTCCTTGCCAATGGACAACTCATGTGATCGGTTATGGCCTCGAAAAAAACCCCAAATTTAGTTTAAAGCGTACTCAATGCGAGCGAACCTGCCACGTGGCAACACAGGTGCGATAAGGAGAATGACCCCTCCAGGGTGAAGGGGGTCACAGCGGTCGCAGCCCCTCCGGGTGAAGGGTGTTTCAGTTAATCAAGAACATCTCAAACAGTATTCCATTAGATTTGGAGTATACTGAATCTTTACTAATTTTATTACG